AGTGTTTACAATCAGTCACCTGCATCTTTCGCAAAACACCTGGGATTCGCGCGCCGGATCGCTCACTGTATATATATATATATAATACGAGTGAGTGGCGATCAATATATGTATATTATATATATATATTTCTATTGTCTATATTGACTATATGTCTATAAGCGCAGCAGCGTCATTACGCATAGCAGGCGGGTTTTAGATTAATGCAATTCTCAGAAAGGGAATCAGATAACAGATATTAGTCTTCAGCGAGCAATTAGCCAGCACGTCTAATTGGCTGCTGTGTTTTCAGGTGAGGACCAAGCTCCGGCTCAAGAGCTGCGTCGGTCGGCTTACGTAGTGTGTCACGGTAAGGCAGCTGAAGATACCTGCTGGTACTGATGGCGTCGTCATCAGCCTCCTTATTATAAGGCTTCCCTCGCTCCCCCTCCTCCTCCTCCGTCCTCCTCCCCCTTCTTCTCTCCCTCCTCCTTTACTTTTCTTTTTTCTTCTTCTTCGTTTTCGTTTTCTTCTTCTCCTCCTCCCTCTCCTCCTCCTTCTTTTTTTCTTTTTCTTCTTCGTTTTCCTCTCTCGCTCCCCCCTTCACCACCACCTCCTCCTACTGCTACTCCCGCTCTTCCCTCTCCTTCTCCTCCCCCGCTTCGTTCTTCCCCATCTTCTCCACACCTCCTCCTCCTCCCTCATTTTCATCTTTATTCCTCCATCGCTATTGTTTGCTGGTACTGCTGCTATCACTATAGCACGAGAGATGCTACAACAACTGTACACGTGACTGCTCTACTAAAGCTGAGAATTGCTGGGGCGAAATATTTTAATCACGAGAATTCCTTCTCGAAGTCTCCTTCCTCTTCTCCTCCTCCTCCTCCTCTCATCACCCCTGCCTCTTTCTCTTCTTTTGCTTCTTTTTCTTCCTCCTCCTCCTCCTCCTCTTCCCCCTCCTCCTCCTAATCTTCCTTCTCCTTCTTCTTCTCCTCCTTACCCTCCTCCTTCTCCTCCTCTTCTTCTTCCTCCTCCCCGCCCTTTCCTCCTCCTTATCATCCTTCTCCTTCCCCTCCTTTTCTTCTTCATCTTCTTCATCTTCTTCTTCCTCCTCCTGGTCCTTCTCCCCCTCCCGATCTTACTTCTCCTTCTCCGTCTCATTATATTTCTTCTACTCGTATTACATCTCATATTCCGCATCCACTCCTAATTAATGCATGGTCATTGCGCTCTTCTTATTCCTACTCGTATTAAGTATTACTCACACATCTTAAACACGCACGCACGCACGCACGCACGCACACACACGTGTACATATGAATGCAGGATATTTGCCTGACACAAGTACGTACTCATCCTCACGTACATGCGCGCACATACGCGCACACGCACGCACGCACGCACGCACGCACACACGCATATGCGCACGCACACTCGCACGCATGCACACGCACACACACACACACGCACACGCACACACACGCACACACACGCACGCACACTCACACGCACACACCCACACACACACACACACATACGCATATGCACGCACACTCGCACGCATGCACACACGCACGCACACACGCACGCACGCACACGCACACACACACCTCTTGTGTCTCCATCTAATTGACCTGTAATCAGGCGACGCTGGAACGTGCACAAGAACAGTGGCGGGCAATTACACGCCCGACGGGGGATGCTGCACACACACACACACACACACACACACACACACACACACGACATGCGACAATTCCCCCATTCCTCCCACGTCACAATGCCTGCAGCTGAAAATTAATTTGTCAGTGGATCTTCACTTCGTGTTCAGCGAGGGAGGGCGGGTGCTGAGCGATACAGTGGACAGAGTGGAGCCAGGAGGGTTGTACGCAGGCGTGACTGGCAATGATTGCAAGCTTTGCGACACCTATAAGGAAATCAGGGACCAGCGCTGCCAGGTTTAGAGTACGTGAGCATATATAAATAAAGATTTAATGAAGATATAATCTGACGAATTATATCAGTGACAGGGGTATTATCAACCACCAGCCTGCATCTATTTCATCCACGTCCTCTTTGCTTATTTTATCTATTTTATTACTTCTCACTATTTGCAGTTTTCTCCCCAGTCCCTCATCTTCCTATTCCTCTCCTTCTTATATTTTCCATCATTCGTCTTCTTCCCCCCTCCTCATCGCTTTCTTCCTCCTCTACCTTCTCGTCCTCTGCCTCTCCCCTCCTCCTCCTCCTCCTCCTCCTCCTCCTCCTCTGCCTCCTCCTCCTCTACCTTCTCGTCATCTGTCTCGTCCTCCTCCTCCTCTTCCACCACATCCATTGCCTTCATTTTGCTTTATTTTGTAATAGCACAATTGCACCACTAAACCGTCATCTATGTTGTCCCTCTATTAACGCCCATGCAGGTGCTGCCTCCCTACCTCCTGCCTCCCTGCACCACTGTGCTTCCCTGCCGCTTGCTCCCTGCCTGCGATCCACTACGCTGGCCTGCCTGTCTTCCCTGGCCCACTGCCTCCCTCGCTGTGAGTCCCTGCCTTCCTGGCTGCCTCCAGCTGCCTGCCTGCCTGCAATCCGACTACCTGCCTCCCTGCCTGCATCCCTACCTGCCTGCCTGTCTTCCTGCCCACCTGCCTCCCTGTGATTTCCTGCCTACCTGCCTCCCTTCCTCTGTGCTATCCTGCCTGCCCTGCCTCCCTGTGATTCCCTGCCTGCCTGGCATCCCTGGACTGCCAGCCTGCCTGCATCCCTGACTGCCCCTCCCCTTATTCTCTGCCAGCCTCCCTGCCTCCCTGCTGCTTTGCCCTCCCCTGCCTCCCTGCCTGCCTACCTCCCTGCCTGCCTGCATCCCTACCTGCTTGCCCTCGCCTGCCTGGCCTACCTCCCTGCTGCCTGCATCCCTACCTTTCCTGCGCTCCCTGCCTGCCTACCTCCCTGCTGCCTGGCATCCCTACCTTCCTGCCTGCCTCCTGGCCTCCATCCCATGCACCCTACCTGCCTGCCTGCATCCCTACCCTGCCTCCCTGCCTCCCTGCCTTCTCCTCCCTACCCTCCTGCCTCTGCGCTGCATGCCTCCCTGCGTGCCTGCCTGCCTCCCCTGCCTCATCCCGGCTGCCATAGCGCCTGCCGTCCCTGCATCCCTACTCTGCTTGCCCTCCCTGCCTCCCTGCCTCCCTGCCTGCATGCCCTACCCTTGCCTGCCATCCCTGCCTCCCTGCATCCCACTCATCCCTACCTGCCTGCCCACCCTGCCCCTGCCTCCCTGCATCCCTACCTGCTTTGCCTCCCTGCCTCCCCCTGCCTCCCCCTGCATGCCTACCTGCTCTGCCTCCCTGCCTCCATACATGCATCCTACCTGCCGCCTGCCTCCCTGCCTCCTGATCCGCTACTCTGCCTGCCTCCCTGCCTCAATACAGTGCATCCCTACCGCTCCTGCTCCCTGCTCCCTACCTGCTTGCCTCCCTGCCTCCTGCTCCCTGCTACCCTCTGCCTGCCTCCCTGCCTCAATACATGCATCCCTACCTGCCTGCCTGCCTCCCTGCGATTCCTGCCTGCATGCCTACGTTCCTACTGCCTCGCTTGTCTTTAATGCCTCCCTGCCTGCATCGCCTACGTTCCTGCCTGCCCTGCCTCCCGCCCTGTGATTCCCTGCGGCCTGCATCTACCTGCCTGCATGCATCCTACCCTGCCTGCTTGTCTTCGCTGGCTCCCTGCCTGCATGCCCTACTCCTGCCTGCCTGCCTTCGCCTGTGATTCCCTGCATGCCTTGCATCCCGTACCGCCTGCTTGTCTTCCGGCTCCTGCTGCATCCCTAACGTTCCTGCTGCCTGCCTCCCCTGTGATTCCTTTGCCTGCCTCCCTGTGATTCCCTGCCTGCTGTCATCCCGTACCTGCCTGCTTGTCTATCCCGGCTCCCTGCTGCTATCCCTACGCTCCTGCTGCCTGCGCTCCCTGTGATTCCCTGCCTGCCTGCATCCCTACCTGCCTGCTTGTCTTCCTGGCTCCCTGCCTGCATCCTACGTTCCTGCCTACCTGCCTCCCTGTGATTCCCTGCTGCCTGCAATCTCTACCTGCCTGCTTGTCTTTCCTGCCTCCTGCCGTGCCTCCCCTGCCGTGCTTCCCCCTGTGATTCCCTGCCTGCCCGTCCTGCTGCTGCTGCCTGCCTGCCTCCCTGTGATTCCCTGCCTGCATGCCTCCCTACCTGCCTGCTTTCTTCCTTGCCTCCCTCTCTGGCTGCCTGTCTACTTACCTACCTCCCTCCCTCTCTCTCTCTCTCTCCCTGCCTGCCTCCCTGCCTACCTGCCTTCCTCCTTGCCTCCCTCTCTACCTCCCTCTCTCTCTCTCTCTCTCCCTCCTTGCCTGCATCCCTACCTGCCTGCTTTCCTCCTTGCCTCCCTCTCTGGCTGCCTGTCTACTTACCTACCTGCCTGTCTACTTACCTACCTGCCTGCCTGCCTCTCTCTCTCCCTCTCTCTCCCTCCTTGCCTGCCTCCCTGCCTTCCTGCTTTCCTCCTTGCCTCCCTCTCTGGCTGCCTGTCTACTTACCTACCTGCCTCCCTCCCTCTCTCTCCCTCCTTGCCTGCCTACCTGCCTTCCTCCTTGCCTCCCTCTCTGGCTGCCTGTCTACTTGCCTACCTACCTGCCTGCCTCCCTCTCTCTCCCTGCCTGTCCGCTTGCATTCCTGTGCGTACACTACCACTCCCATTAGCTCTCAGCTAACGCTACAGCCGCTGCGCGTGCACTCACGGAAGCCGAGCTCCGCGAGCCCGAAAACCAAACAGGAAATTAAGAACAAATTGACGAGCCGCGGCGGAGTGGCACTCGGCTCCACGCCGCGCGCGCGCGCCGCACACTGCTGCTGCCACCTGCTGGCCGGCGTGGCGGTAACCCGGCGCGCGTGTGATAACGAGGGGTCGCCTCACGATTGAGGTCACGCGGGGCCGAACGGAGAGACAACTCGGTGAGGTGAGGTCACGCTGGAACAACGCGCGGCATCGATCTACACTCACCGATAAAGACGAAGATCTGGTGATGCGAATAGCGCAGCAGCATCGAAATCGAGACGGTCTGCGGAAAAAAAAGTGTCCGTCGGTGAGACGAGTAAATTGATACTAACGACTCGGTTTCTATGATCGAGGGTTTGGCGTGTCACAAGGCGGCTACAGCCACCGATGGTCACGCGACTAGCAGTTAAGAACACCATCAATCAATCGTGACACAAACAATCGCTGTGTATTTCTGCACGAATCTCCATCCCCCTGATCCCCTCCTCTATCCTTCCATGATTGCAACCTCCCCCTTGCCCTTTTTCTCCCCTTCTGCTTTTTCCCCTTCTGTCTCGATCTTTCCTTCTCTCTCGCGCGCACGCTCTGTCTCTTTCTTTCAGTCTCTCTCTTTCACTGTTCCCCTCTCCCCCTCTCCCTGCACTCCTTCTTTCTCAGCCTCCCCCTCTCTCCCTCCACCATCCACCTTCTTCTTCCTCTTCCTCTCTCTCTCTCTCTCTCTCACTCTCTCTCTCTCTCTCTCTCTCTCTCTCTCTCTCTCTCT